GATTTTAATCATATTAACATTTAATGGATTTAAAGTTAAGTCATCACAGAAAGATCAGATAGAGAGGCCAAACCACTTACATAAGAATGGAGAGTTAGTGTGGAGCACGGGGATTCAGCCCAAGTTTTCTGTTTCTAAAAGGATGGGAACTTTGCAGAAAACAAAAATTCACCCAGCCTCTCTGTTTTGGTTCCTCCTTCTCCCCACCTTAGCCCAATTCAGAAAAATGAATGCTACTCATTTTCTCACTGTCCCAACCTCTGCAAAATCATCCTAAGGTGATGGAAATAATTCCAAGAGAATAAAAAGAGGGGGCATTTTTATTCCTTCACAGCACAGTCCCACAGGCCTCTGAGTTCTTGACACCAGGCAATGACACACCCAGTGAAGAAAATAAAACGTTCCAGAGAAAGGGTGACTACCATGAATGTGTGAGTGAAACACCCAGAAGGAGTGGAAGAGAAGCTTTGACATTACAGGGACCTCCACTCCCCTCACATCCACTCTTTAGAAATCAGAAACGCTAGAAGAGCAGTGAGATGTTCCTAGACACAGTGGGAACAAGAGATCTGTGCACGTACTCATTCACTTCTTCATCCATCTCTGACTCTCAGCTGACTTTAGAATTTAACTGACAAGATTTCAAAGGATAACTTTGAAGCAGAAATTCTGCTTCATCATCTCAAACACAAAATCAGGCGAATGTAATTGTATTTTCTACCTCTGTACCTTTTATCGACATCATTTGAAGATGAAGAAATGGACTCAAAAGGACATGAGAGAAGTCTCCAGAAGCTTCCTGGGCCATGGGGCGAGGGGACTTTTGCAGCCCAGCCTTGGTTCAGAAACTGATCTGGAAAATTTCTCTCCTATGTCCACTGTGCAGAGACCAAGGTGAAGAATGTGACGATATGAATAAGATCAATGGTGATGGCTGCTCCCTGTTCTGCCAGCAAGAAATCTCCTTCAATTGCATTGGTAAGTCTGCCATGTCTCTGGGCCTGGCTGATTGGTCATTTACAAGGGTAACAATGACTTTGACTAAATGATGACTTGCCCCTTGGTTTTACACGTTTATTGAGTGCCTCCTATGTGTCAGGCACCAGGGAGGTGGCATCAGTGGAGGTGGAAAAAAAAAGGCAAAATAAAGTGCAAATATTCCTACCATCAAGAACTTAGGCTCTCATAGATAATGACAGGTAATTGATTTCGATCAGGCTCTACTTTACAAATGCTATTGCTTTTCTTCACACCACCTGTTCAGAATGGCTATTACTATAGATATGTAGGGCTTTTTGTTTTTGAAGATGACAAGAATCAAACATCAGGGAGATGATAAAACTTGGCCAGGTCAGAAGGATTGAAGGCAGAACCCAGACTTGAACCTGATTTTGTTCAATTCTCAAGTTTGTACTCAGATCATTTTGCTGCACATCCTCTAGCCAGGATCCAGAAGTTGCCAGGGTCCTGGATGCAGACTCAGAACCCTGGGGAAGTCTCTCTGATCTGAAGGAGGAGATAGAGCAGACCAGTCTGTGTTGAGAAAGCAAATATCCTTTTCCCACCTTTACCGAATCAAATGGGAAACGTGTTTTTCCTCTGCCTCTTCTCCAGAGTCTGGCCGATCATGTTGTTTCAGCCCCACTTGGGAGGCCCAGGCCAGCCTGGGGCTGCTAAACAGACAGGGGTTGGGGGCAGGGATGGAATTTTGAGCTGGCCCAGATGAGATCATACTTCCTTTAAGATGCAAATCGATACCTGAAGATCAAAGGTCCCCCAGCTAATCCCCTGGGCTGGAGGTGAAAACTAATCACAATTCATTTGCAAGTACAAAAGACAGAGGTGCTCTATCTGAAAAAAGGAAGGGGCAGCTACAGAGGGGATGAAAACCTCGGTGGGAAGATTTCTCACTGAAAGGCAGTTTTCTAGGGGGACGAAAGGGAAGGAGATGTCATCGCATCTTTGCATCTGCAGCGCATTACAGGGGTGTTTAGACATTCTTTCTCCCAGTAGATGGCCTGCCCTGGGGGTGAAAAACATGCAACCTTTTGTTCTGTTCCCAACACACATTTGTTGAGCACCTACTATCTGCTTGGCACCAAGTAGGGGCTGAGCAACACAAGAAAGGTGTTCTGCAAACATTTGTGGTTGAAAAAAAAAAAAAGGAAGATAGAGGAGCTTCGAGGCAGGGCCTTTGGCTAGAAAATTGGAGAAGATTGTTTTTCTCTTCTCTCTTGACTAGAAAAATGGTTCATAGTAATAAAGCCTGATGCTCACTTAGTATGTGACAGAAAGAACTTTGGGTTGAAATATATATCAGGTTCTGGTCCTAGCTGTGGGAAGAATTGGTATAATGCTGGCCAAGTGGCTTCCCTAGGCTAGGCCTCAATTCACCTCTGGTACATGGAGATGATTGGGTTAGCAGGTCTCTAAGAACCTGAATGTACTTCTGTGGTGTGGCTTCCAAAGTGTGAGGCTGAGTTCCTCATAATCACGAGCTCTCACCTTCACTGACATGACAACCAACACTACTCCTAGCCCAGGCTGGAAAATATTGACCCATGTCACTCACTCCAATGTGACATGTAAACTCAAGTGGTTCTGGAAAGAAGGTAGGAAGCGGTGAAGGTCAGATATGGTGCTATAAAGAGATGCTTGAGCCCTGATTTCCGTACCATGTTGCTTTAGAACTGCCCTTTCCAACAATACACGAAAACAAGAAATATTCTTGCAAACTATGATCCACAGGCAAGAACCCAACAGCCGCCTGTATTTGTAAATAAAGTTGTATTGGAATGTAGCAACGCTTGTTTATTTCCATGTGGTCTATGGCTGCTTTCATGCTATAACAGAGGTGAGTGGTTTCAACAGATGACTCAAGGAGCCCAAAATATTCACTATCTGGCCCTTTACCATGTGTCAACCCCTGGTCCATGGATGTGGTCATTGCAGCCTGATGTACAAGGTAGATGAAAATTAGGACAGCACTCACCATTTGTTAGAAAAGTCACAGCATTTTGCATGCACAGTGGTGGGGACGGGAGGAATCTGGTGGGAAGAACGCCAGATCTTGGGTCTCATCCCAGGTTTCTTTGCTTCTTTGTACCTAGTCTGCCCTTCTACACTTTGGCCAAAGTGACTCTTTTGGACTAGATCAGTGTTCTTCAAACTGTGTTAACTGAAATTCCGGAGAAAGAGATGAAGACAAGGGAGTGACCAAGAGGATGAGACCACGACCCTCTTAGGTCATTTTATAGCTTTTTATTCTCCAATAGGTTCTAGTGTTCTGCTGCTACTGACCATATTTACTGAACATCTGTGACATTCCAAGCACATTTAAACTCTTACTCTTATGACAACTCATTCATGCACTGCTTTTCCAAAATGTATGTGGAGATCCGGTGTGATAAACTAAGGCTATAGAGTTAAATGGTAGAAGTCGACTGAAACCCTGAGCATCCGGGCCCAGAGTACCCTCGGTAAGCTAGTTGCAAAAAAACGATAGCTCCTGTTCTTGCAGGGCTTTAGGTGTTGTGAGCGATTCTTGTAACAAACTCGTGCAAGGTAATACAAAATGGGCAGTAGCAGGAATGTTGTCCAGGGAAGGTTCTTTCTCACCCCTGTATATCGAGGGCCATTTGTGGCAGAGGAAGCACCTCGCTGTACCCTTCACTGGCCATTGGAATCTCATTATGGATACCGTCCAGGCAGAGTGGAGTTCAACCAGAGATTCCAGCCCTCGGGGACTACACTCTAAGGACAAACTTCATATCTTGAGTCTAGAAAACTTTGTTCCTCTAAAAGGAACAGCTGAAGAGTAGACAGGGGCTGACTCCCAGAAGATCCAGCTTTAGGGGTGAGTCAGAGCAGTAGAACTGAAGTGGGAGGCTTTGCCAACGTGGACATCGTGCTCATCATGAACGTGTTCATGACAGTAGTCAGACAGGATTGCGAGAAACACCGTGGCTCGGATGTGTGACCTTGGCTAAGCCTCCATGCTCTCTTCCCAAAAAAACATGGAAGTTCTAGGAACCATCTGGGGAAGATATTTACCAATATTTTTGAATGCTTACTATCTAAATTTTCTTCCTAGATTTAGGGAATTATCCTCCTAATCTTTGTATTCCATGAATCGTTTATAACTCTCCTCCAACCCTCACCAGAGAAGCTGAAATCCAAACTTCTCCTGCTCCTGGACACCTTTGTGGCTTGAACGTAGACACACAGCCTGGGCTTTCCTTCTGCTCCACCACAGACACAGCAGCCCAACACGTGGAATTGGAAGCTAGGGTGATAACACATGGGGACCCTGCACAAACCATTTGGATGACCACGGAGGGAATGGCCACACCCATAACAGTTCCCAAAGTACCAGGGATAGCTTCTGTCAATGTCCAAGTTGAGGTGACACAGCAGCAGCCTTGGATCCCTTCGCCAGACCAATTCTAGGACTAAATCTCTAGCTTGGACTTGGCTTCAGAAATACAATCCTGGCTCTCCCGCCCTCCCAGTGAGTCTTCCAAAAGCATCGGATATTACTTTGAATAGACGTTCTTAGCTCGCTTTGCTTAAGTTATCCAAAGTTACTTTCTGTGGATGGCTATTTAGATCCTGACTGAAAATTGTCCTCATTAGATAACTGTGTCTTTTCACTCCGTTCCTGGCAAGTTGGATGTGTACCATGTGTATTTGGGCAGGGTGAGGTGGGGTGATTGTTGTTGATAGGGGAAGGGATCATCAGAAACAACCACAGTTTGGGGGTAGCTAGGTAGTAGCCCTGCGTTATGCATTCTGGGTTAATGTGAGCCTCGTTTCCAGATGTGAGATCCGAGACCCTTTGTGATGGCTCAAGTTCACAGGACTCACAGAGGCGTGATCTCATCCACAGACGGAGTAGACAGCCCTGGTTTTCCTACTGGGCCACTCTGTCTTGCCACATGAATGACTTGCTTCCTCCCTTCCTCCTTCTCTTCCTTCCTTCCACTGCCTGCCTTTCTTTTCTCCTTCTTTCCCCCTCCTTCCTCTCCTCCTCCTCCTCTTCTTTGCCCTGGGTCTTCGTCATCACTGGCCACTTAGAAGGGCTGTTTTCCCTGGGTCAGTAACACCAGCATGAGGGCGGGTGACAGATTTATGAGGACATTCCCATTCACTTTTCAGAAGCCCACACATCCGGAAGTCTTCCCAAGGTGCCAGGGTGCTATTATGCAACACCCTGGGGACTTCCCTTTCCCGCTTTCCCACCCCCAGCCCTCATCCCCCAACACATAAGAAGTTGCTTATTAAAACAAACACCACCCACAAGACCTCTTGGGCAATTCAGGCTGCGTCCCCTCACAAAGTAGGAATTATCTTGTCCTTTTCCCCCTTTTAGAAATCTAACATACTCCAGACCTGGGGTTTCAGTTAAAAGCGCTGGTATCAGTGCAGTGATAACTGCCCAGCGGGCACCAGCCAGGGAGGCCTGCTCAGCAGAACTGGGAATTCTGTTCTCAGCCACTGCGTCATAAACCACAGACAGGCTACTGATAAAAGCTGAAGGAGGGATGGTCACGGCCAAATTAGTCAGACAGAATGTGAGGGGTCCCCAAAAGGGGTTGTGCTTGGTAATATATCCTGAGCCCGAGCTGGAAGCCTGCTACCCTCCGAGGGGACCTGTCAGCCATTATAAGGGTTTGCTTTTGGAGACTCCCCTGTTGTGTTTTGATTGACCACCCAGCTTAGTCTTAGAAGCTTTGTGTGCACCCCAGCATCTCAGAGCCTCCGTTTCTCACTTCGTGAAATACAGTGAGCACTCTAGATCTCCTGAGGAATCCCCGGTTCCTCATTTGGAGTTTCCAAATCTTGCTTGATGCTGATAAATAGTTAGCAAAGTGACAAGGATCTGCATGTCATCTCCCCCCAAACCTGCAAGCGTTTCCCTCCAGTCCCTTGTCCTCCCTCCCTGGCTGCTCCCAGCCTCTCTCCTGCTGGCTGTCCTT